TCCATCCATACGGGAGAGGTAGAACCTGTGGGTTGAGAAGAAACTTCAATGAGTGGTTTATTTCCTGCTGGACCCATTGTTCACATCCTCCTTAACAGAATGCTTTGTAGTGCTGGTGTCCGTTTATTTGGTCTCCTAGAAGAATTCACTCTTCAGGTCACTAAAGCCTTAGGTTCTAAGTGTAGTGGAGATATTTGTAAGGACAAGAAAAAGGTTGATGCGAAATACCTTCAGCAAGAGAAAGATGCACTGACATACACCTGGCAAGACATCTCTCTGTTAGAAAGTTCAACACTTCGATATTAGCTTAGACTTTCCAGGGTTTTATGACAATTAAAAGAGAAAATGCTCAAAAAGCAAAGTTTGGAACTCTGGCAGAGGCAAGTACTAAGTTCATCACTTTAATTGACCTTAAGTCCTAGGTAAGTCCCGTCATCACCTTCATGTCACATGTAGCCAACTGAGGTGCAGGGAGCTGTAGTGAATCTCCTGGAGATTCCAGGTTGGAGACCCAACAGAGAGACCTTAGTGCCCACAGTATTGCTTCCCTGCAGGTGGGTCAGCAGGTACAGAAAGGCCCCAGTTCTTTCTTTTTTTAAAAAAATATATATTTTATTGATTTTTTTTACAAAGAGGAAGGGAGAGGGATAGAGAGTTAGAAACATCGATGAGAAACGTCGATCAGCTGCCTCCTGCACGCCTCCTACTGGGGATGTGCCCACAACCAAGGTACAAGCCCTTGATGGAATCGAACCTGGGACCCTTCAGTACCCAGGCCGATGCTCTATCCACTGAGCCAAACCGGTTAGGGCAGGCCCTAGTTCTTTAAAAACAAAGGTGCAGGTAGGCATTAGGTAAGTGAAGGATTCCTGTCCTCAGAATATTTCTCAAGTTTGCTCTTCTGAAGGTGATGTGAATGTTAGTAGTGCGGGTTGTAATTAAAAGTGCTCACTGCATTGTGCATAGCATTTAAAAACTAAAAAATTCCCAGTGATTTTCATTTATTTATTAAAATGGCTCAGTGATTTAGCATCGACACAGCAGAAAAAGGTCCCTCATTCGATATTGGGTAAGGGCACATACCTGGGTTGAGGGCTCCATTCCCAGGAGCTGCGTGCAGGAGGTAGCCTATCAATGTTACTCTCTCATCATTGATGTTTCTACCTCTCCCTCTCCCTTTCTCTCTGAAATCAATACAAAAATATTTTTAAAATATCTCATACTCTGGTTTCTCTTCAAATCACATAAATCTGTCATCTTTTAAAGCTGCCTCCTGCACACTCCTTACTGGGGATGTGCCCACAACCAAGGTACATGCCCTTGACCGGAATCGAACCTGGGACCCTTCAGTCCGCAAGCCGACGCTCTATCCACTGAGCCAAACCGGTTTCGGCTAAAGGTATAAAATATTTAAAAACATTATTCCAATCCAACAAAATATTTATTCCCTATACCAAAAAGGCAAAAAATCAGTGAAATTCCAACATCCATCTTTGTCATCCCATTGTTTGTTTGTTAAAGAAAATTGCCAAAACTCATAGCACATTAGGCAGAACATAGGATCAGAGGTTTTAACAAAGATACAGACACAGCAAATATGCATCTCAAAAAAGACTCAATATAAACTTCTAGAAAAAAAACAAAACAATGAGGTAGCACAATAAACTAACAAAAAAAACAAAAACGAAAAACGTTTAAATAAATAATGATTGACCAAAATAAATATTCTCTAGGATGTGGAGAATGTGCATCTTTCATACACTGCTGGAAAAATGCAAAAACAAAGTACAATTAGTTAAGCTTTACATTTTATTTTTAAAGGATACTTTAGTAATTTTTAGAGAGAGAAGGAAAAGGGAGAGAAACAATGAAAGAGTGGCACATCACCCAGCCAGCCACTTCTGTGGATCTAGCCCACACCCCAGCACATATCCCCACCGGCAACCAAATCCACAATCCTGTGCTGCAGGAGATGATGCCAAAGCAATAAGCCGCACCGGATCTGGTGGTACATTCAATTTACATCACTATTTGGTAATCTCAGTAAAATTAAACATTCATCTACCCAGAAATCAGATTATGGCCTGAATTTTTAACAAAGGTAAATAACACTTATGCTATTAAATAAAAGCCTAATATGCTAAGTGTCCAGTTATCCAGTTGGCCATTCAACCAATCAAAGTGTAATATCCTAATGATATGCTAAGGCCGTCCAACTGCTCACTATGACATACACTGACCACCAGGGGGTGCACAGTTGGACAGTAGCTATTACATGCACTGACCACCAGAGGGCAGATGCTCCCACAGGTAGGTTAGCTTGCTGCTGAGGTCTGGCCAATGGGCCAAACATGCCCTGGAGCCATTCCGTGGTCCCTCTCTGGCTGGCTAAACTCCGGCGATCCTTTCTGGCCCCATGCAAGAGCTGCCCCTGCCCCGTCGTGGTCAGTGCACTTCTACAGGGGGAGCATCACTTAGCCAGAAACCTGGCTCATGGCTGGCAGCTGCAGGCAGGTGGTAAGGAGAGAGGGGTCCCAGACTTCAAGAGCCCTGGACTGCAAGAGGGATGTCTGACTGCCGGCTTAGGCCCGATTTCCAGGGGGATCGACCTAAGCCAGCAGGTGGACATTGCCCAAGGTGTACTAAACTGGCAAAAGGAGCAGGCCAAGCTTAGGGAGCCTGCCCACACCCCCACCACCCCAGTACACGATTTTTGTGCACCAAGCCTCTAGGAAACATATAAAGAATTATACAGTAATGTTGATATAAGCTTTATTAGAAATAACCAAATATTTACTAAAATGGGCATCATGGTGATATATTCAAAGATAAGAATATCTACCAGGGCCCTAACTGGTTTGGCTCTGGACAGAGCATAGGCCTGCAGACCAAAGGGTACCGGGTTCGATTCTGGTCAAAAGCACATGCCTTGGTTGAAGACTCCTTCCAGGCCCAGGCCCTGGTCATGGCTGATGCAAGAGGCAAACGATCAATGTGTTTCCCTCATATCGATGTTTCTCTCTGTCTTTCCCTCTTTCTTCAATTCTCCAAGAAAAAAAATTAATGGAAAAATATCCTCTGGTGAGGATTAACAACAATGAAAAGAACATTTATCAAAAAAAAAAAAAAAAGAAGAGCTACTAATATATCTTTAATAAATCTCCAAGAATTTATGAAACATAAATTAAAACAGAAGCCAAAACCGGTTTGGCTCAGTGGATGGAGCTTCGGACTGCGGACTGAAGGGTCCCAGGTTCGATTCCGGTTGGGGGCATGTGCCTGGGCTGCAGGCACATCTCCAGTGGGGGGTGTGCAGGAGGCGGCTGATCGATGTTTCTCTCTCATCAATGTTTCTGGCTCTCTATCTCTCTCCCTTCCTCTCTGTAAAAAAATCAATAAAATATATTTTAAAAAAAATTAAAACAGAAAATACTTTGAAAAAGCAAACTTCTCTATTAAAATGGAATGTAAATCCATAGTTATAAGGAAAGCTGTGAAAAATAGGGACAGATAAAACGAGGTCATGAAGCAACTACACAGTGACAAATGATGATTTCAGTTTCATGTACATGTAAAGATTTATGAAATACTATACTTAGTACATGTAATTTACTCATTATAGCTGTTAAAAAATGGTTCAAGAGAAAAGAAATGTACAATCACCTACTTTGGAACAATGGGTTTTTTTAATTCTATATTCAATGCCCATTCTTCTGCCCTCTGGGCAAGTCTCATCTTAGTGACAGAAAATGTAACAAACAATGAAGGACTTTCACCCAAACCCACTGGAATGTTGACTAGGTCACAAAAACCACATCTCTGGCCTAAGGACACCCTTTGGTATCCTCTTAGTTTTGCCGCCAGAGGACCAATGGCTCTAACGGGAAAATCTGAGAAGCTACAGGAAGCCACAAAACCTCGTGATAATAAACAATGACAATGACTGCTCCACAGAAGATAAACAAGCCTGGAGTCCCTCAGATCTGTGTATACACGGATCCTGTAGTCTTTTCCTCAAAAAAAATTTCTGGGTGCAGGTTTAGATGAAGACCATTCCTTCTAATGGGCTGCAGTCTGGTCCAACAAGAATTAGGTCAGTGATTCTGCAGTGAAGGGGTCCCCCACACTGCGATGGTCCTCCAACAAGTGCCCATCACCCATACAATTGAAGATATTAGGGCACATGGCCCTCTGCAACACGTGGGGAAAAGAATGCCTTCAAATGTCGTAGTATCCCTTGAAAACAAGAAAAAAAAATTCACACTGCTCCCAGACATACTTGAGGTTGTCACAGCTATTCCCTTTGGTGTGATCTCTGTGTCTCAAAGCATCCAGCTTCACATGAGAACGAGAGTCCACAGTATTTCCTGGGAAATTATGGGCAGCAATGTTAATTTGGCAAAACTGCTGAGCTAATTTCTGCACCATAAACTTCCCCCCAGGACAAAAATGTTTGAGACCCAAGAAAAGC